CAGCAGTGTCTGTGTCCCATCTCTTTTCTTACCAGACAGCTGATTGGTACTGTGGTCACAGAACACATTAAAGCCAATCGGCCTACTGAGTGATGACGCCTCATAGTTTAACCTGGCTGCAGATAAGAAACACCTGGGGAACTTTCTCAATGTAGATACCTGGGCTTCTTTTCCAAATACTCTGATTTGTTAAGGGTAGGGCCCAAGTATCAGTATAATCTAAAAATTTCCTAGGGGATTGGTGCTGTCCAGTTTGAGAAACCACTGGCCAACTGGAAAGAACATTCCAGTAAAAATAAAGATGTATGTTTTCTCATTGCCTATTTCTTTGGAAGAACAAAGTTGATAGGGGGAAAAAAATAACAAGGAGCAAAATGGAAGGGCTGTGCAACTTGGCATGCCCTTGGAATGTGGCAAACTATTTAAAAATATTTGTAAACCTCCAGATTTTTATGTACCTATTGACAAAGTGGTTTAAACAATTGTTTTCCTTCTTAATGCTCAAGTTTACAGGCCCCCAACAACTTTGAAAATATAGGAGTGTTTAGCAAAACATTCTAAATAAGTGACCCTCAGCTCTGGAATTTTCTCCTAGCATGATGCTCTCTAAGTCAGCCAAATCCAAAATTTGGTGGATTTTGAAATATGGTACAAAATGAATTCTTTTTAAACCTGAGAGTCATTAAAGATTTATTTTGCTGGAAAGACATGACTGTAAAACTAACAAGCAATTATTGTTATTGCACCAAGTAGAATCAGAGATCTGTAATGGAGACTACGAAACCAAGGGTCACCCTTCTTTCCTCATTCTACAGATGAAGAAACTAAGCCTCAAAAAAGATGAAATGATTTCCTGAAGTCAGACAACCTAATGGCAGGGACTGGGCACATCATGATCTCATGATTTAGAGGCCAGTTCTCATACAATTTCTTTGGAGAATGACATGGATGATTTCTTCTTTCTACTGTACTTAGTTATTTACAAATGCAATATCCTTGCAAATTCTAATATTATAATCTTTGGTAACTGTAACAAATAGTATTTGAATTATTTTGCAATTTTTGGTGTGCATCATCCTTTCTACAGTTTCAAATATAAAATCTTGTTGCATTACCTTCCTGGTTCTCACAACTTGAGTTCCTAATTTATCTAGAAGGACATATGTGAACTCGTGTATGAAATGCAAATCTAAGAGCTTTTAATCCACAACAAACCATTATAAAGAGGCTTTGACTTTTTCCACATTTCCTGCCTACTCATCTCATTTCCCATTATATTTTACTGTTGACCAAAGAAAAATATAGGAGTCAGAGATATGGGTGAGAGTGACTCTCAGGAAGATAGAAAAAATTTCTAACACTTATTAAGTTCTATTATGTCCTAGGCAAGGAGTCAGGCCCAGAGTGAGAAATTTAGTATGGTGATAGATTCATTTTCCTGGAAATAATATATGACTACATTTAATGAGGCAGATAGTACAGTTTGTCTCAGTTCTTCCCACTTCACATTACGCATACTATTCTATTTCCTTTCACTCCAGGCTGAGAATACCATTGAGATACAAAGGGGTTGATCTCTGAGAACTATTCCCAGAGATTCATTCCTCCTCCTAAAAAATATTGTCCTCTCTCCTTTCTGCAGAAAATTTCCTTTCCTTCTACCACACCCAATCCATGCTGACTATGTAGTGTAATGCACAATTTAAGAGAAAAGTTGTTGTTTGTTATGGATGTTTTCCGGAAATTTACAACCAAGGATAAAATGATGAATAAGGAGATGGGACAGACCCCAGCAGGTCTTTCCACCGTCCAGCCTCGGTGCGTCCCCCAAGCTCAAACCAGCTCCGTCACTTCTTGCTTAGTGACTACAGGCCCTGGCAGTTGGCTTCCCTTTCCCAGGGGTAGGTGGCACCACCCACTCAATCCTGACCACCCTTTTTTCCAAGAACAGCTGTGGAGTGGGACAGTATGTCTCAAAGTCCTGTCACCATCCCCTCTTTGCTGTCCTGAAAACAAGCAAAACCTCCTTTTTTTGGTTTAACTGTTCAGCTGTTAGTCTTGAGAGAGAAACAGAGAAGAGATAAGAAAAACACGAACATTACAAAGGTTCCAGAATCTTTCAAAGTCCTTTCAGTTATGGTCCCCGGTCAGTATTTATGATTCCACTTATACCTTTTTCATTTATTTCTGACGGTAGGAGGTAATGCAATCTCTTCTTAGGTTTGTTGACTTCACTATAAATATTTAACATCTAGATTGATTAGGGATTACAGGGACCACAACATAGGAGAAAAAATGTTACTAAGGTAAAGTTGAGAGGCCTTAAAAGAGGAATGTTCTCAGTTCCCTTTGCCTCATCTCTCTAGAAAGTAATTCTGGAATTTACCATTTTAAACTCTGACAGCAGCTCCTCACTGAAGCCAGGCTAAGAGCCACCTCTGAGCTTCCATATTCCTGCAACAATGGCACTGATGTGACTTACTTGTTTACATCTGTTCCCCATCCTACACTAGGTTTCGCTGGAAGAGACTGTGACCTCTCTTTTCCTCAGATCACTGGGGGCTAGTAGAGGTGCCTGTCACATAGTAGGTACTTAGGAAATGTTTTTCAGATGAATGAAATGGCTCTCAGAAAAAGAAAGGGAGGCAGAGTCTCTCTCTGGTGGGAGATAAATACTCCACCAAGGAATGGACGACCATCTTTAAAGTTGGGTTTGGGTCTCAGTGATGTTGCTAAAAAAAGAAACTTGTCTTACCGTAAGATGAAGAATAATTTGATAAACAAGGAGGGTTTAAGGCATTTTTAAAGCCCACATTGTTCCTTGTTTCCCTACCCCAACCGACTCCCAATATGCATTGGTGACAAGAAAATGGATAAGAAATTGGAATGGGATGGATCAAACAGGAATATGGATCATGTGAAAAATCCCTGTTGTGTGACTTTAAGCAAGCTACCAACGCTTTCTGGGCCTCAGTTTACATCTGTATCATAAAATGAGTAGGTCAGATGATATATGAAGCTCCTGACAGCCTTAACCTTTTATGATTCTAAGTGATTCAGAGCTAGGTAATGTCAAGTTTAATATTCCTCTCCTCAACCTCATCCAAAAAAAAGAAAAAATAATTTTACCACTGTCAACAACATACTTGGGGAGAAAAAATAAACTATAAATTATAGTCACAGGATCAAATGAACAGAAACACAAGATTAAAATATGTTTTCTATCCACAGAATAATTTTTCACAACAGTGTCAAACAAAAAGTTCTAGTCAATGTTTAGACTAGGACTTGATGAAAAATTCCAGACATAAAACTTCTGGAACCTAGACTTGAACTCAGAAGGACCTCCCACCTCTGAATAAAGTTTATGACTAAAATCTCTTGGGAAGGTTTTTTCCTTAATAAGAATTCATCCCCCAACAGTTATTTGAGTTTTGTTATTGAGACCATTATAATATAGTAAAACTCTGGCTATTTCAAACTGTTATTCTAGGATGACAGCTAAAGATTTCTCTAAGTACCACTATATTTTAAACAATTGTGGATGAGAATCATTTTGAAAGACATTACATTTTCTTGACTTCTTTAACAGAATGCACTGAATATAATTTAATCTTTTCCTCAATGAATACCAGTTACTACAACACAGTAATGTCCTTAGGTCCCAGTGAAATACTCTAGGCCCTAGAATTTTTTCTTCTGATGGTGCTTCAGGATGCACCCGAGGTATCAGATGTCACTTTTGACTGCTGTCACTTCCCTGTCAGCTTGGCCATTTCAGGTCATCTCTCCTTGAAATCTAATTTGCTGACTAAGAGTAGGAAAAAGTTTCTTAATTAATCCTTGCACACCCAAGGGTAGCATAGTTTTGGCTACTTAAGGTGCTTAGAAAATGTTTGTTGATACAGTGCATGAATTAATATAGTGGTTTTAAAATAAAAAAAAAATTAAAAAAACCAAAAAAACAAGCTTGCTAAAAAGCTAGGAGTGAAATAACAATAAATAGATGCTGGGCATGGCTTGAGGGGCCTGCTTTAATACATAGATTTGCAACATTTTGTTTACACTTTCTAATCCAACCTGATCCAGATAGACTAAAGTGGCATAGAAGCAAGTACCTGATTTTTCATGAGAAATGACTGAATAATAGTGGTAGGTAAATAAAAACATACAAAATGATTGTGTAAACTTTGGCTGGTTATATAAAATTTAGTGTCATCAAATAATTTTATTTTATTTTTTTATTTTTAGACACACAGTTGACCTACTCCAGACAGAAAACTGAGAAATGGAATTGGCATTCCTATGTTCTTTAGGGAGTTGGCTGATGGGACACCTCATCACACCCACTAGCTATGTGACTTTGGACAAATTATTTAACCTCCTTTAATTTCAGTTGTTTGCATCTGAAAATAGTAAATGAGAAAACCCTTCTCACAGGGTTCTTGAAGAAACTAAATAATATATCTTAAAGCTCTTACTACAGGATCTGGCACTTAGTAAGCATACAGTTACTTTTATTATAACAAGTGGTCCGTTCCTGGAATGGGGACAGTGCAACCCACACTGGGCACAGCCAGACCATGTGACCGCCAAAACATTCTTCTCTTGTATTTGCTGCCTACTCCCAGGCAATATTACTTCTGCCTCAGTGTTGGGTGTTTTGAAACCAAATGTGGAACCCAAATAGAAAAAAGCTCTAAGTTCTCTAAATCTCTGACATTATAGAAAATAGGCATTTCCATTTGAACTAGCAATCTAAAAGAATAGGGTTTTAACGTGGGCAATTTTAGGTGATGAAAGAAAGGCAAATTAAAAGAAGACTGGAAATCTGAGTCCCCACAACTTTTCATAAATGTTACAATCCTTAGCAACTGGAATCTGGAAATTTAAGACCTTCTCATATCAATGTCAATTACTATAGAATTAAAATATTCATTGTAAAAAGCAACAATTATAGCCTCACATTTGCATGCAACTACAGCACTGCACAAAATATGGATTGTCCTTAAGGCAATTTATTAGTTTCTCCTCAATTTAAATGAACAAATTCACAATATCCCAATTTCTTTCTCAGTGTTATTTATCACAACACAATACTTGTAAAATAACATTACTTAAAATAGAGAAATTAAATACTGCAAAATAAATGGGCTATCTTGCAAATTATTATACTTAGAAATTTATAAAGAACCTAAAATATGAATAACACAGATGGTGTACTATACCAAACATTTGCTAAAAAGGAAGAATTCTTGCTATATAAAGAAAAAAAAAAAGGAGATTTTATCATTTCCACCTCAGCTTAACAAATATCTTTTGCCAGTGTTTTTTTAATGGTCTTTCTAACTTAAATACCTCCTTACTGAACTTGGTCAACTTTTTTTTTATTTCTAAGTTTACCTATTACTTCAGTTATGTTAACTAACTCCTCAGATTGCTCCCCATGTTAAATTTTAAGATTATTATGGATTTTATTTTCCAACATCTTAATTAGCTGCATTATTGACTTTTGAATTTTCTCTAAACAAGGCATCTTTGATACACAAAAATATTATACTTGCACCTTAACTCCTTTAGAAGTTATTTTTGCCTTTTTAGTAACACTTTTACACTAAACTTCTAAATTGACAATTCATGAGCGGTATACATAATGCATTAAGAAAATCTTGAATAGCACTTTTATAAAATAATGAATCTCCTAGAATACATAAAACTGAATCCAACACAAAGTTTAAATATACTGACATCAATATGAAGAAAACTTTTATTGAGCATTTAAAAAACTTCATCTGAATGGTTCTTTTTAAAGTTGCTCTTCACTACTGGAGAACTTATTTACTTAAAAATGTGTATCAGCAAAATTGTAGGCTGATCAAAATCAATTTTTTTAAGTAAATATTTTCAAATCTTTAAGAAGGAAGTAAATAAAATTTTAAAAAATTTATGCCATAGTTCAGGCTCTTCTGGTTCTGCAGGGAATAAAAAGAGAAGTGAAGAAAACGCCTGGTGAGGGAAATCAAAGATAGCATGTTAGAATAGGGAGCACAAAGGCGAAGCGACCAGTGACAATAACTGGTCAGCCTTAATGAAATACAGTTTGCACTATCAGAATCCTAAAAAATCTTTTAGTAAATTCAATCACCAATCCATAGCACATTTTTTTTATAAACAAGTTACATCTTTTCAAAAGGCTGGTTTGGAAAGACCTTACGCAAGTGACATCTGAGCAAAACCTGAAGGGAGCAAGGAAGTGAGTACATAGAAATCTGGTGGAAAAGCATTCTGGACGTCCCACAGCCACATCAAACCAAAGATTCAAAGCTGAACTTACTGTCTTTCCTTCCAAGCTTCTCTCTTGTTTCTTTGAATTATGCCATCATCTCTCCTACCACTCAAGAAAGAAACCTGAGATTTACCGTTAGACTCTACTCTTTCCATAACTGAACAACAATCTGCAGCCCAAGTCCTTTTGATCTTACCTCTTAATATCTCCTATTGCCTTCTTTTCATTCCTATTGCAAGAAATCCTGTTACTGCTTTTGTTCGGGCCATTATCGTTTTTCTCTTGGATTTTTCTAATATGCATTCTCTTAACTTTTCCTCCTGCCTCTAATCTTGATTCCTCCAATCCATCCTTGATGCTACCGAACTGATATCTCTTGCTTAAACTTTGCAGTTTTTTCTCATTATGGTCAAACTCCTTACTGTGGCATGGAGGGTCTTAGGTGATTAGCACACCGGCCCACCACGTGTCTTCCCACTTAACCTCACCAGGTTTCTTTTCACCATTTGAGGTAAATTTACTGGCCCTTGCTCTATAAAGCTCCTTCTAAAAGTAACCCATTTCAACACTGTGCTTGTTTACACACTTAGTACAAGTTACTTACAACAATAATTTCTTTACATTTTTGTCTTTCCCAAACCCGGCCCAGTGATTGGTCCAAAGTAGGCACAAAAAATTTAAATGTGTTACTCTCAGTGATTCATGTAAATATGGACACCCCATACCTAAGCTCCAGCCCCAGTTAGAGGAGTTCCTCCCACCTCACACCCTCAGAATCACCTTCAAAACCCCTCTTCAACTTGTAATTCAACATATTCTAATACTAAACACAGATAGCCAGGCTTTCTTACTTGGAAAACCATGATTTATAAGCAACTAAGAGCTTCTATTATGGGGGATTCATGTATACATTGTTTCATCTGTATACTTGTTTTTCAGCAACAAAGAGAATTTCAGTTCCAGAATATATGAATTGCAGAAATTATGAGTCACTTCTGTTGAAGATAATTTGAGGTTGAGAGAATTAGTCATAGGGACTGAAAAAGGAAACTAGTTAGTGACAAAGTAAGTAGAGATAAAGGAAAATTAGCTTTACAAAGCTACTTTAGTCACATCTGGGAGGAGAAAGAGCCAACCTATTTAGAAAGAGGTAATGAAAGTGAAACCCAGGATTAGTAATCCAGTCGTAAAATTAACAACGTATTTAATATATAAATGGGGGGTCAGAAATAGCAAAATGTAATTTGGTATGTACATATCTATAGCAAAATATAACAATTTGCAAACCTCTCACTTATTGAGTCTAGGGGGGTAGCAAATGTTTATAACAAGCATCTGATGAGAAATGGATATTTATAGCAGAACCTTTCACTAGAGAAGATGTTACTGATAGTGTTTTATCACAAATTCATTCCTTAAAATTAATGAATAACAGTTGGAATTAGACTACTATGTATGATTTCCAAAGACAGGTCATTTTGTTTTGTAGAAAATAGTCAAAAATGATTAGAATTAATTTTTTACCTTCTTTGCTCCTATCACTTTTTCAATATTTCCACCTGGGACCTAGTAAGAAGTATATTCTTGGTAATGATAGAAAATGTTACTTTTTAAAAAGAAAAATTACAGTTTTTTTTTAAATTAAGTATTTCATAGACATGAAAGTGGCTTTTATTGAGAGAGCTTTTATAGATAGTTGAGTACGGCCAGTTAACACTTTTGAAAGGCCTTAAAACTCAAATCTTTTTTCTATAGATGGTGACCCCACGCAGAAATTTACCAGGACAGGGAAAATAAGCTATTGCCTATGTTTATCAGATTTTTATTATGCATGGCACACCTGGGGATGTTGGTACAAGCAGATTATCACTCATCAGTTCTAGAGTGGACCTTGGATTCTAGTTTCTAACAAGCTCTGAGAGAGACTGCTGGTCCATGGACCATCCTTTTCAATAACAAGACCTGAATCAGTGGTTTTCAGCCTTGATGCCTATTGGAATCACCTGGGTAGCTTTTTAAAAAACAGCATTTCTAGGGATGAAAGGTTATTTAATTAGCCTGGAGTAAAGTCTGGCCATTGTTGAGTTTTAAGAGCTCTCAAGGTGAGGACAGCAGGCAGCTAAATTTGAGAACCTATGGCCTATGTACTGACTACATTTACTAAGTTTCATCTCAGTACTGCATAGATTGAGAGTAACGGATGTACAAATACTTCCAAATTCTTACTGAGAATGTATTTCATCATAAATCAGGTTAGAACCTGATTAAGGATCTTGGTGGCTTCATTTCTACATTCCTACTAAATTACTTATAACATACTTTTAATGATATTTTAAAGTTAAATATTCATGGATTTATAATGAAATGACAATCTGAATTATTTTTAGATTAGGAGGTAGATACATAAAAATATGTCACTTTAAAGTATATAAAAGTGTCAGTTCCTAACAACAGATAAAAGGTTCAGACTAGTGAAGAAGTTTATTTAAAAAATCTCCAAACCTGTATGCCATTAGAAAGGCTCATAAATACAGAAAAGACAGGCAAAAGTTTACTTAGTATCCCTACTTGAAGTAGGCATCACTGATCCAGGAATTACAAACTGAATTATCACTCTTTATAAGATCTTTCCTACTTTGCTAAGTTGAGGTTTGTAAAAGGTCACGATGCAATGCCATTCCCAAGGCTCCCTCCCTAATTCTCAGAAATGCACATCAAAAATACTCAACAAAAAGAATATTTGAAACTCCAAGGCTGCAGAAATTCTCTAATTATTTATAGTAAAGAGTATTGGAGTACAAGTCAACTGCCACACACTAATGGTGTGACTTAAACTTTTTGAACAGGATTTTTTCCACACTCCAGACCTTGGTGTTATCAGCACTGTGTTCTAACCAAACTGAGCAAACAGGTCAGTTTACTTTAGTCTCATTTTAAAGATAAAGAGGCCTCAAAGAGATTATCTTGAGAATCCCTAAGCAGATCAAAGCTCTATTTAAAAATAACTGATTAAGTGGTCCTTTAAAGCAAATATGATTAATTCTAACAAAAACAAAAAATACAGCAAGTTTACATTTGAAATGACTGATTTAACAAATCTTTTAAGAAAAATATCATTTTTAACTTGTCTCAAGTCTAATTATTTGGCTACCCTTTCAAATAGCAAATACGTTTAAATCTTAAAAAAAAAAAAAGAAGTGTGTGGTAGCGGTGGGGAGAAAAAGGATCATTAAATGCAATGCAAGAACACCAGGCAGAATTAAAATAAACAGTGTAAACTGAGGACGAAATACTAAAAGATTTTTCTAAAGAAAACCATTTCAAAGCATGCAGTATGAGATTTTAAGATTTATCCCAAACAATACAGAGATTCTTATTGTAGACACAAATTTTTTCTAAGTACTACAAATAACTCATAATTCCTGCATAAAATTAACCTAATTAATAAAGATGGGAGTACATGGAGACTAGTTCCCTTTGCTTTATTGTTTAGTTTGAATAAATGTCCTAGCAAGCACAAAACACCTAGTGTGACCAAATACATGAGAAATCCCTGTATAAATTAAAAAATGCCATTCTTGCAGCTTTCTGTCACAAGGATGCTGAGAAACAGTGAAGGAGTGAGACACAAGGTTGTCTCAATTTTAAGTTTCAATCATCAATCCTCTTCAGAACTGGAATCATCCTCTTGGTCAGAGAGTTCAGGGACAGGGAAGCGGAGAATGGCAGCTACTCCAGTCAATTGGCTGAGCTGTTCTCCAGACACATGAAGACTAGAGAATATTCTAACCGTGCCTGCATTTTCTTTCACACTGTCCACCAGCCTCACATACCGGCTCCGTGTGGCTACATCCTGATGCCTGAAAAGCTCATCACTGATGAGTAACGTGTCAATTGCCATGGCTTCGTTGGCCTTCTCCACCTGCTTGAGTCCGTAGAAAGCTCGGTCAGGTTCATGTTGCAACATTTTATAGAAGTCATCCAAGGCTTTTACTTCCCCAGCAGCTTTAGTGTCTGAAAGGCGGCTAGCTACAGTAGGGTCACAAAGGGCTTCTTTCAGGGAGTACTTGTGTCCAGAGGAGGCATGAACCTGGAATCACAATTACGAAAGTTAGACAAAAGAATCTCTCAAAGCACCCATTAATCAGCCCACCAGAAACTAAAACCAAAAGCACTAATAAGGATTTATATGTTTAAGGACTTCAGCAAAGTTTACTACGTAAATTTGCTAGATATTTACCAGTTCTCTTTTCAAATCATTACCTCATTTACAATCCCAGCCAAATAAAGACTTTCTAAGTTATCTTTCCCAGTTCTGAAACTTTAGAGTAAGTTATACCAATCCTTCTGCCCATTCATAATTATCCCTTGATAAGATTGCTTTACCTGAAGGAATTTGGACCGGTTTTCCAAGAGTACTTTGTTGTCAGTCTTCACAGCTTGCTGAAACATGTAGTCGCAGAACTGCTCCCTCACAAATCCTGGGCTGGCCACCAGGATGCACTTTACAACATCAAAGTGTATGTGGCGCTGGATGGCCTGGATCACCTGGTCGTAGAACCTCTCCAAGGCCCGGTCATGTTGGGAGCAGTTGCCTTTCCGTTTCCTAGGGATGTTCACCTCCACCTTGGCCCGAGTGAGGGTCATGCTGGGAGTGACTAGGCAGATATGGGCGAGGCCTTCCTGCATCACTACAGCTGCCACATCAGCGCTCCAGGCTGGGTCACAGGCCTGCTCGATGCGCTCCAGAACCACACTGTCCCATTGTTTCTTGGCCAAGGTGAATTGGCGGTTGGGTTCCAGCTCGATAGTGTGGTAAGCCCCCATCTTCACATACTCGTTCTCTTGGATATTGGTCCCCTTGACCCGCAGCTGACAGGCTTGTGAGTCGAAGTCGATGGCTTCCACGCAGAGAGTGAGGGTAGTGCGGACCCGGTTGCTTCCCACGCTGCCTGTGGAAGACTCGGTCTGTACCTTGCGGATTGTGGAGGCGCGCAAGCTGTCGCCCACCTGCACTAGATTGTAGGTGTGCCACATGTCCTCAGGCTCCTCGGGGACCAGGGTCACCTGGCCCGCATTGTCCTTCTCAATGTCCTTCCTCACGAGCTTCATGGCCTTGGCAGGGGCTCACTGACAGAACAATAGAAACTGATGGGTTCCGCACCAGGAAAGGGGCCGGGGAAGGGGCAAGGGAGCCTAGACCGGGAAGGGGGCGGGGTCCGCTTCCTATGAGCACTTGCCTGGCGGGAAGGAAATACTCTACCTCCAACTCGTGCCAAGGGGAGCACTTACTCTAGCTCTTCCTTTCCCAGTCTCCGGGCTCGATGCGCCGAACCGGCGCGGGAGACACCGAAGCGGACACGTTCCTCTCCGTAGTTCCAGCGGCCAGCACGCAGCCACAGGCTGACGCAATGAGGGCGCACGCGCAGGCCGCGTCCCGCCTCCCGCCGTACGTCTTACGTTCGCAACGGAGAGGCGGTGCCCCAGCGTACGCGAGCGCAGGCGCACTGAGCGAGGAGGTTTTTCGGCGGAATACTCTCTAAGGAAGGTGTACGGGGTCTTTGGGACGACTCTTTTATTTTAAAGCTGAACTTGGACTTCCTAAGTTTTCTTTTCCTTCCTTCTATGTGAAGAATCTAGGGAGTCTGTGAGTTCAAATGTATTTTTTTTAGCTGGGTGGGCTTGCCACTTTGCACTTCCTCCCTCCCCGTAAAGCCAATTTCAAAACTTTATCTTAACGTAAAAGGAGATCTGAGAAGTGCAGACTTGGCCCCAAAAGTCCAAACTATGCACCGTTTTACTCCTGCCTTAACCGCACTCGGCCGCTACACGCCTGTTGGAGCTGGTATTCCAGAAGCGGATTCTAGGAACTACTGGTCACGTTTGGTCTGGGCGCTGAGCAACGTGCCAGCTGTTTTCTGTCTGATCTGATTAACGCGCCTGTTAAAGCACTGATCTGAAAGAGCCAGATGAAACTATGTGTGGAATTTACCCCTGGGTGGACCTGTCAGTTGCTCGACCTGATGACCTGGGAATCCCAGAATCCAAAGTTGGCAGTCTTAATTTTCCGCAGCTCAGTAGCCTATGAAATGCTTAGGGTGGGAGTTGGGTCGCAGTGGGTGAGGGCCTGATCTTCACTGCCAAAGCTAAAAGCTGAGGGTATGGGAAGTGGGAAAAACTGATCCAGCAATTTATGACCGACCGATTGAATAGCTGCAGAACTGATTTTAAAGAAAATCCTTATTTTTTTTATTGGGAGATAGGGGTAGAGAAGTGGGATTGTCTCTTCAAAAGACAGGTGAATAGAAAAAAAAAAAGTCCAAGTTTTCTCGAGAATTAAGATGAGGTGGAGGGCAGAGAAGTGCTACACACATATATACTCATTATCTTTCTTTCCTATCTTGAAAGGGGAGTTCACCAGCCTGAACTGGTGAGATAGGGAGGACAGGGAGGAATCTAACTTTGACATAAGGCTTGATAATTCGAACTGAAGTATCAATCATCTTTCTCAGGGATTGTTAGGGGACAAAAAGTTCCCCTCCAAGGCTCTAGTCCAAATTAGAACTATTTGTTTTGTGGTCTCTCTCTCTCTCCCTCCCACCTTCCTGTCATACTGAGTGCCCTCACAAAGTTCCTGACTCACATTGCCACCTTCCTCCAATTCCGAGGGTGAAGGTGGCTTGCCTCTTCAAAGAACTTTGTCTTCAAAGAACTTTGTATCTTTTAAGGAGGATCTTGTTAACTTAGAATTCTTAACTGCTAGAGTGTGTGGGGGGGGGG